GAGGGACGGGAGGAACCCAGTGAGGGTGTCACAAAGAGGATGGATGAGGGGCAATGAGGGGAATCAAGACTCTGGCCATCCCATGGCCCCCAAAGCCTGCTGGGTGAGCGCTGTGAAACCCATCCGTGTGAACAGCCGTTGGGGTGGCCCCGAGCAGGCCGGGGCTGGGCACAGGCTGTGAGAGGGAATGCGGGGCGGGGCGGGGCTGTGGAGGCTGTGGCAGGACAGGCATGTGTGCGTGAGGGCCAGTGTGCAGGCAGAACGTCGTGACTGTGGGGGATGGAAGTTCGAAGGCGAGTTTAAGGTGCTTGAAGGCAAGCGTGCGGCTGTGCGTGCGAATCGGTGGCTGTGCGGGCCTCCAGTGAGTGTCTGTGTGTATGTGACCACATGTGCATGTGGACATGAGTGATCTTTAGTGAGTGCGAGAGGACCTGTGGGCGTGAGTGGCTACGTGGGATGTGGGTGTGAATGTGTCATGGGAACTGCGTGTCTGTTTCGGGGCTGAAGGTGCACCAGTGTGTAGTGAGAGGGTGTCTTTGAGACTGGCTCAAGAGTGGGGTGCGGGTGTGAGGGTGCAGTGACTGTGAAGAGGGTGGGGTGGGGGTGGAGGGAGGTGGTGCTCTCCCTTCAGCCCTGGTCTTCTTTTGACCTCCGACCTCCAGGGTCCCTGTCACTCCCTTTCTGCAGGAGCCAAGGCTCCTGCTCTCTCCTGGGTCCCTGCTCCCACTGAGTGGTCTCTCCCAGACCCAAGCAGAGAGAGCCCAATGCAGCTGCTCATTCTGGGAAGATGATGTGGCCCCAACATGCTGGGGGCTGCAGACCTGGCTAGGGCCTCCCCACCAGTCTGAGGCCTGACACCCTCCTCTCTCAGCAGCCATCGGAAGACCTGGTTCCCTATGACACAGATCTGTACCAACGCCAAACACACGAATACTACCCCTATCTCAGCAGTGATGGAGAAAGCCACAGTGGTGAGTACAGGGCCCTCCCGCCCCACTTCCCCAGCCCGGTCTGGGTGCCTGAGTGATTCCTGGAGTCTGGAGAGAAAGAAAAGAAGAAATGGTTGCCAGGGATTCTTTGGAATTCTGAGAATTGGATCAAGCTAGTTCCTAAACCTCCACACTCCCCCGCACCCCACACCCCACACCCCAGCCTCCGTTTATTGAGCATCTTTGGAGCACCATGGCAGGAAGTCAGCTTCTTTCACATTTATCTTCTTGTCCAGTCCTTGTGGTCTTTTTACAAATGAGGAAACAGGCTTAGGAAGCTAAGTGATTTGGACAAGGTCGCACAGCTGGTCAGGGAACCCAGGTGTCTGCTCCAGGTCCAGTGCTTTTCCCTCTCTGCTCCCCCCAATTTCTCCTTCCTCTTCTGTTCTTGTCACCCCCTTACCCCGAACTGCTGGTGCAGGCCCACTCCCTGCTGTGTAGCTAGCAGCATTTCTTAACCTCTATTGGCCCTTGGGGCCAGATAATTCTATGTTGTGAAGCTTGTCCTGTACATCGTGAGATATTAGTGACATCCCTTGCTCTTACCCACTAGGTGCCGGTAGGACCACCAATCACGATAACCAAATGTGTCTCCACACATTTTGGAATGTTCCCTGGGGGGGCAGAACGACCCTAATTTGACAATTGCTGGGGTAAAGGTGGCTCTGAGGATCCCCTTATTCAGCAGAGGCTAAAGCCCCCTGTTTGCAGGGTGGGGGTGAGAATGGAGCCTGGGCTCGGAAACCCTTCTGTCTGGGTGCACCTGCTCACCCCAAGGCCCAGCTTCGATCCCAGAGCATATTCGGGGGGGGCGGGGAGAGGGGCAGAGAGAGAGGTATTAGGTGCGGGGACCTGGGCGGTAGGCTGGGAGTGGGTCTGGCATATTGATGGAGACACCCCTGAAGCAAAGGTGATGCAGCCTAGTTAATGGGTCCTCACTGGGGTTCTGGGACCTGGGCAGGCCCAGAGGGACAGTCACTCTGGGTGTCCCAGCTGAGCAAGGTTTCACACTTGAAGGCCACACCTGGGGGCCAGTCACACCTGTAGCTCCATTCTGCAGGCACATCTGTGGAGTCTCACCCTGATAGCCACAAGGGGTGCCGCGTGCGGAGAGACCTTACTTAGGGCTCTCATAGCTGCTGCCAAACCTTGCGAACAGCGTCACCTGGAGCCCACGCCTGGCAGCTGTTATAAAGACCACACCTGGAAGCCCTGTCTTGGGAGGAGGTGGTGGATGGACCTCAAGGCCACATCAGGGAACCCACGGGCTTCTTTCAGAAACCCAGGGCTGGAAGGGCTTTAAAATACTCTCTTTTCCATCCTTTGAAACTGACTTATAGTTCTACAAGAAGTGCATCCTCTCTGTGGAAAACCCAGGCAATTTAGAGAGAAAGTCTCCCTCACCCAAATCTACCCCAGCACCCCTAGTGGGGACGGGGTCTCCTAGCAGTCAGCACTGAGACTGTCCCTCTCGGCTTGAGGAATGGCGCCCCCTGGTGGCTCCAGGCAGCAGGGTAGCTTGGTTCCAGCAAGTTCTGGACTGCCTTGGACTCCTTCCAGCATTAGGGATCCTTTCGCTTGGGGCCTGGCGCCCTCCCAGTTTCACTGGGTTCAGGAGCATTTCCTTTGGGTCTACTGAAGCCTCAGTTTTCCCTCCTGTAATGTGTAATGCGGCGATTCTGTTCAGATATTTAGAAGTGAGCTAGGCATGGGGCTGGCTGATGGAGGGACTTTAGAGAAAGCCTGTTCTTTCCTGGCTCAGTGCCCAGACGGATCCCTTATATCTGGGTGGGGCTCTATCAATGACTCCTGATTAGATGCCTGAGCGCCCCGTTTGGGTCCTGAAGGCTCAGTGTCTTCAGAGACTCCTCCAGTGTCCCCACGTGCCCCAGCCCCTACTCCTCTAGGCATCTGATCGGGCGCCCCCTCCTAATACCTGTTGGAAGGTATTATCTGAAGGCTCAAGAGTAGAGACACCCCCACATCCTCCCCCCAGTTCTTGTATGTTTCTTGGTCTAAGTTTTAGGCAGTGAGGCTTAGTGAGAAGGCACTGGAGCCGGACTTAAGTCTAGGCCTGCGTCCATCACTCACCACTGTGTAGCCTTAGAGAAAGTGGCAATCTCTCTGAGACCCTGTTTCCTCAGCTATAAAATCGAGGACATGAAAATACCACCTAGAGTGGTGATGATTAAACAAGGTGACGCAGGGAATGTCTGAGCTCATGTACTGAGTACCAGGCTGGTAAGCTTTCAGGCTTTGCTGCCTCCCCCAGGCAGCTGGAGAAAGGGAGAAGCGCAGAGGACTCTGGGACAGATCAACCGGTCAGCCAGCCACCCATCCACCCAACACCTGTTGTCCAACCCATTGTCTACAGATCCACCAAACAGCCTCTGACTGTATGCGACGCACCAGACACTGTTCTAGGCACTGGAGGCTCTACTCTAAAGCGACAAGATAGACAAGGCCACTCCTCCCATGGAGCTGTGTTCCAGTGAGGGAGAGAGACAGTAGATAAGCAGGCATGTAATCATCAGTTCTATAAAAAGCAGAGTAATGCAATGTGGCATGTTTGTGTGGGGGCCACTTTAATGTGGGTGGTCAGGGAGGGCCTCTGAGGAGGTGAGAGTTGAGTGGACATCTGAGTGAAGAGAAGGAACTTGCATGCAAAGGCGGGGGGGGGGCAGGGTGTTCTAGGTAGGGGGCCAGAGTAGCACGGGGTAGCGGGTGGAGATAAAATGAAAACGGAGTCTGCAGGGGGCAGACCACACAGGGCCTGAAGGCCATGGTGGGAGTTGGAATTTTATCCTACCAGCAATAGGAGTCATTGGAGGTTTAGAGCAGGAAAATGGCATAATCTGAATAACCTACTTTGTGTGTGTGTGGTGAAAAAATAATAAATTTTAAAATTTTAATTATTAAAATAACAAATACTCATTGCAAAAATCTAAAAAAATAGAACAGTATATTAAATAAAATATTTCCCTCTTCCCACCCTCACTCTTCCCACTGAGAGCACCTCAGTCTATCCTTGCAGACATTTTACTTTACACATATAATCCTGTAGGTTTGTAAATATTTGAATACACACATGCATAGTCTATTTTTAAAAAATATGTCTTTATTGATTTCAGAGAGAGGAAGGGAGCGGGGAGAAAGAGATAGAAACATCAATGATGAGAGAGTCCCCTACTGGGGATCAAGCCCGCAACCAGGGCACATGCCCTGACCAGGAATGGAACCGTGACCTCCTGGATCCTAGGTCTAAGCTCAACAGCTGAGCCACGCCCGGCTGGGCCCGTGCATAGTCTATTCGTTCAGAAATGGAATTGTGCTATCACACTGCTCTATTTGCTATTTTTTACTTAAACTTATAGAATTTTTTCATGACATACATAGCATATCAGAGATAGATTATAATTGTGGCTCATTTGGTTGGGCATCATCACTGAAAGGTTGTTGGTTCAATTCCTGGTCAAGGCTCATCCCCAGGTTGTGGGCTTCATCCCCAGTAGGGGGCATGCAGGAGGCAACTGATCAATGTTTCTCTCTCTCTCCCTCTCCCCTTCTCTCTCTCTAAAAATCAATTTTAAAAATCTTAAAAAAATTTATTTTTCCAGTGCTATGTAAATGTATGCATGCAGATTTGAAATAGAGACTTAGAACAATTTACAAACTTTACTCATTTACAAACATTTATTGAGCACTTTCTGTATGCTAGGTGGAGATGAATCTAGCTTGATTTTTAAATTTGGGATAGTACCTATTCACCTGTACTATGAGAGACAACAATTTGGCTTTCTAGTCATTCACAATACACACACACTCACACACTTCTCCACACACCAAGATAATTACGTAGTAATTTTTTTCTTTCTTTCTAATTTTATTAATCAATTGACATATAACACTGTATGCATTTAAGGTGTCCTGCATAATGACCTCACACACATATAGAATGAAATGATTACCACAAGTTAACATCCACCACCTCGTATAGTTACAAAAAAAGTTTTTCCCTGTGATGAGAGCTTTTAAGATATACTCTCTTAGCAACTTTTAAACATACCACACAGTGGTGTTAGCTATAGTCATCATAGTGTGTTACATCCCCAGGACTTACTTATTTTATAACTGGAAATTTATGCCTTTAACCACCTTCAGCCAATTCCCCCACCCACCACCCACCCCCTGCTTCTGGCAACCACAAATCTCATCTCTGTTTCTATGAGTTGTTTTTTAAAATTCCACGTATAAGTGAGATCACACAGTATTAGTCTTTCTCGATACGGTAATTTTGTTAAATCAGCACCTGAGTTTTCCATGATTACGACCATGTGACCGTCACAGCTGAGCCACACGGCGTACTTTACCTGTATGTCTCGTCCCCGCGTTCCTGAGGGGCAGTGTAGCAAGGAGACTTCGTCCTGGGCCAGGCTGCTGGGGGTCCCACCCCCCCTCTCCGCTGATACCTGGGGTGACCACGGGCAGGTTACTTCACCTCCCTGCCCTCAGCTTTCTCTTCTACTTCACAGGATTGCTGAGAGGCTTGCACTACTGCATGTATAACGCTTAGAGCAGTGAGTGTTATACTACAGGGATTTGTTATTCTTATCAGTGCAGTTTCCGAGAAAGGCCAGGGGTAAGGTTTTGTGGTTGTTTGTTTTACCCCGTGTCTTTCATCTCTGCTCTCATTTGATTAACGGCAGCCTGGCCGGGTATAAATCTGGGTTAAAAATCATTTTTCCCTTAGAAATGTGAAAGCGTTTCTCTCCTGCCTTCTGGTTTTCTTAGGAAGCCGATGCCTTTCCACACCCTCGTTTTGGAATGTAAGCTATTGTTTGTTTTTTGTTTTGTTTTGACTCTCTGGAAGTTTATAGCAGCTTCTCCCAGTCTCTAGCAGCTCCACTGAATAGGTTTTTGAAAGGATTACTTTGGCTGCTGTGCAGAGAGCAGATGGGGAGGAGGCAAGCATAGGATCAGGG